ATTACGCTGTTGGGTTGGTACAGCACTGATGGCCCACTATGTAGCTTTGTGCTTAACTACAAACAAAGAAAACCTTCTATCACCATGGCTTGATTCTTTTTTTTAATTGTGTTCAAGTTGTTTCTGTACAAACCATGTACATGGCATTTTTTGTTTTCTTCAGCTGCCGAGAACAGGTTTCTTGTTTTGACTGAGTAGCTTATAATATTCATGTGTTAATTTTACTTGCGATTCTTAAATCAGGCATATTTTCGTGACGCGCTCTATCGTTGGGCGGGTTCTTTTGGATAATCTGATAGACACAGTCCTCGTAACAATAAAAATTAATTTATTTCTCCCTTAACGTTTGTTAGGGGCTACTTTCACTTGTAATTGTAGGCCTAAGTGCAGAAACAACATTTCAACAAAATTCCAAGACTGTAATAAGTATGCTTAACTGACAAATAAACTTACAAAATTTCCTTGCCTGATACCTGAGATAAATCTCACTTTTAACCCTGAACTGTGAATAATTTTTATGACAATGAAATAACAAACTCATTGAATACTCATATTTATAATGTACTCTCGTTTCTTCAAACTCCACGAAATTTCTAGATTATTACATCATCAACCACTTTCTAGGACAACTATTATGAATTTTATAGATCTAACGTCATCATCATGATTAGCATCTCCCTCTAGCAAACAACTAAATTATAACTTTGAAAATATAGCTTACAACAATATCATTTGTTTTTAGTTATTGTTAACCATAGTCTATTATTTTCTCTACCCCCTGTATATATAATGAAGATTTTACTAAGCCTTTTCATTTATTTTCTCCTTTTTTTGTTGCTTGGTGCTTAATTACAAACAAAAAAACAAACCGACGAAATAAGTACTAATCATCAGGTATTGCATCACCTGTTCCTAAATCAATCTGTTTCCAAGCAACAATCTATTTGAAGGATTTAATGAAACAGTGCAGCTTCTCCTTTGCTTTTCCCTTGAATACTGTTAGGTTTTCCTGTTTTACATTAGCAGTACCCAAAGGGTCCTACTGCCAGCTTCTCTACTGAAATCCAGCCAAGACTTCCAAAAGAGTTTTCCATCTTTTTCTTTAAATTTTGAGACATGTTCATTCTTGTAAATGTGACATTCTAAAGTTAACTTATCAATAAAAGAACTCAGCACATGCCTCTTTGCTATTATAATGATGTCATGTGTGACACAAAATTTTGTCATCACATCCAATTGTATCCTCAGTGTTTTGCAGCGTCTTGACTGTGTCTTGTTAGCCTGGAAGGCTTATGACTAACTTTTAATCCCACTATATTATAGCAAGATGTAAATTGCTCCATCTGATGGCATTGCAATGTAATGCACCAAATTTCAGCCTACACGTTTGTCTCCCCCTGTTCTAGAAAATTGGTGACTTCATATAGTGTATTATGATGCTATAGTCCCAAAGAGACCACTTCAGTGGGTTTTGAGTGTTCAGGCCACAAGCTGCCACCACGATCTCTCCCTATTGCTCTATGTCCCTGTATACAGGGGTGTAATCAGTTAAGTCTGCATTGGGATTGCCCATCTACATTCTCATCAATCTTTTGGTCTCGAGGATGGATTGAGAACGTGACTGATGATGCTCTGTGTCCAGAAGAGCGCTACTCGAACTACACCTTCCTGTATTCTCATATCGAATCTTTACAACCAACATAACTCCCTCATCTCTGCCATAAGCTTGACATGATCTCAGAAATTACCTTCCATGATACCATGTTTAAACACAAAAAAAACACATTTGAAATGAACTCTGCAATAACAATCCTTTGGTCATGGTACCACAATGTTACTTTTTAACTAGTTTGTGATAGGTAGGTGCTCTGATACCTGCCAAAGAGTCGAGTTCTAAATCGTTTTGTCAGATAGGTATACTTGAAAAAGTATACAGAAAAGATAAATGTTTATTTTAAAAATGTATAAAAAAATGATCACTTACAACATCTTCAGTTTTAATTTAGATCTTACACAAATAAATAGAGAAAATTTTCTTCCTTATAATGAGTTACCAAACGTTAACCACTGTACATGAATATTATTTAGCTAAAAACATAGCACGAGAGTAACTCCTGATCTTTTATCCGAACTCCTAAGCTTGAAAAGTTATAACTGTAAGATTGTTGATGATTTAAGTTCAACTTCTTTTGAATTGAAAGTGCAGCAGTTTGAAAACTTACATTTTTCCTTTTTTATAACTTAGAAAATAATGTACCTATATTCAGGTATATTAGGGTAAGTTTTTGTATTGCATTTAGTTAACAGTGTTGTAGAATTCGGATAATTGTAAACTTGCATTAATCTTTGACTTAAGCTATAGTTACACAACATTTGATAGAGTTTATACTTGCGCGACCATGCTTTTGTGTCATCCCCTCCCAATGGAGTGTGAGTCATACCTAAGTGGGGGGGGGGGTGTACAGAGGTTTTTCACAACTTAGTGTGAGTTGAGGATGAACCCCCTTTTGAACATATCAGGTGGGAATGATTGCTGACATAGTAGCCCTCCCTTGTGGGAAAACACACTTGGACTTTAGTCTCACTTAACACTGAAATTAAGACATTGATTCCTTCTTTAGTGCACTAAAGTTATTATTTCTCTACTTTTACTTTCAGCAAAAAGAGCAGTTCATTAAAAAATCTGGTGCTGCCCAGTGATATAGTGAGATTACAATGTGTAAGAAATAAGTATTGTTGTTACTTGTTTAAACAAATTTCTAAATCTTTATTCATATACTGTTCATATTAATTTTATTCTTTCGCAAAACACTTTCAGAATTCTTAAAGAAAGTCTTAGACAGTTAGTTGACACATTGAATAATGTCGTGTAGACTGCTCCTATAGTTTTGGACTCTATATTTATTGAGTTATTCATCAGGTCAGCAAAGAGTCCAGAATGTTATTTCCAAAACAAACCAGAAGGCAGGAACCAGTATGAAATTATTCAACATTTCCAGTATCTATGGGTATTAATGAACTTGAATACCAAAGAAGTTCACTATAAGGTTTGTTTGTTTATTTTGGAATTTCGCGCAAAGCTACACGAGGGCTATCTGCGCTAGCCGTCCCTAATTTAGCAGTGTAAGACTAGAGGGAAGGCAGCTAGTCATCACCACCCACCGCCAACTCTTGGGCTACTCTTTTACCAACGAATAGTGGGATTGACCGAAAAATTATAAAGCCCCCACGGCTGAAAGGGCGAGCATGTTTGGAGGGATGCGGATTCGAACCCGCGACCCTCAGACTGCGAGTCGAGCGCCCTACCCACCTGCGCATGCC